TAAAGAAGTTGTGGTATATATGTATACAATAGAATGTTATTCGGCCATAAAACAGTGGAATCTTGCTCTTTGCAATAACATAGGTGAACCTACAGAGCATTACACTAAGTGAAATAAGACTAACAAAGACAAATACTATGATTTCACTTCTATGTGCAATCTGAGAAACAAAACAAAACAAATGAACAAACAAGACAAAACAGAAACAGACTCATAAATGCAGAAAACAAACTTGTTTTTACTAGAGTAGGGAAGGGTTGGAAAGGCAGATAAAATGGGGTAAGGGGATTCAGAGGTACAAATTTTAGTTATAAAATAAATAAGTCATGGGGATGTAATATGACAGGATAGGGAATACAGTCGATAATGTTATAATGACTTTGTATTGTGACAGATGGCAACTAGACTGATTGTGGGGATCATGTCATAATGTATGTAAATATTGAGTCATGATGTACAACTGAGACTAATAGGGTATTGTATTTTATACAACAATTTTAAAATGTAAAATTAAATAAGGCAGAAGAGAGACAATAAGAAAGATGAATGGAAATCAATAAAAGAAAAAAGGAACACAATACAGAAAATCGATGAAGCCAAAAGCTTAATTTAAAAAAAAAATCAATAAAATTGATTGATGGCTAGCTAGAATGGTTAGGAGAAAAAGAGGGAAGATACAAATTACCCAAATCAGGCATGAGACAGGTGACATCATTAAAGATGTTTAAGAATAATAATACAATATTTTTACAACATTATGTCAATTAATTTGAAAATTGTATGAAATGGACAAGTTGCTTATAAGACACAACCAAATTTCACTTAAAAATAATCTGAATAGTCATATATGTATTAAATAAATTGAATTTGTAGTTAAAAGCCTTATTTTAAAGAAAACTCTGTGAATAACTTCACTTGTGAATTGTACAAAATATTTAAGGTGGAAAAATATTAATTCTATACAAAATTTTTCTAAAAACCGAACTCTCCACTCATCCTGTGAGGCCTGCATTACCATAATACTAAACTCAAAAAGATTACAGTAAAAGAAATCTATAGATCAATATCCCTCATAAATATACAGAGAACAATTCTTAATAAAACTTTTGCAAATTGAATATAATATGAATAAGTGGAATTCAACCCAGAAAATAAATGAGGTGAATGTGATGAAAAATTTAACATTCAAAATTAAATCCATGTCATTTGCCATATAAAAAAACTAATAAATAAAACCCATAAGATCATTTCAATAGATGCAGTAAAAAACATTTGGTAAAATTCAGCATTTATTCTTGATTTAAAAATTCTCAGCAAATTTGGAAGAGAAGAGAATTCTTTCAACCTGAAAATGGGTTATGAAAAAAGCACTAATGTTAACATCGAGTTAAGCATCATACTGAAGGGTAAAAGACAGAATGAATGTTTTCCTTCTAAGATCATGAAAAAAAAATAATGGCCACTCTTGCCACTCTGTTCAACATTATACAGCCATTCAACATCAACCAATAAAACAAGGTGGTAAGAAATTATAATAAGCATTGATAGCAAAGGAAGAAGTAACATGGTCTTTATTTGCAGACAACATGACTGTCAATGTAGAAAGTACGATGTAATTTTCAAAAAACGTTACTAGTAGAACTAGTAAAACACTAATAAGTGAGTTTAACAAGGCTGCAGAATACAAGAGCAATACACACACAAAAAAGAACGATCAGCAACTGAAATAAAAACAATGCCATTTATAAAACTATTAAATTATTAAGTATTTATGGAAAATCTACAAATGATGTGTGGGACCTGTAAACTTAAAATGATAAAACATTGGTAAGGTAATTGAGGAAGACATATATAAACTGATAGGTGTACTATGTTCATAGTTTGGGGTTTCAATATTGCAAAGATTTTTAATAACACCAAATTGATCTATAGATTCAAAGCAATCTTAATTAAAAGTCTAACATATATCTTGGGGCTTCCAGACAAGATGACAGAGTAGTTGGATGCTGTGCTCGCCTCCTCTCGAAACCATATCAAAATAACAATGAAACTACAGAACAACCATCATTGGGAGTTGCCTTAGGTCTAGCTGAACAGAAGGGACATACATACGAGGTCACCTCGAGTTTGGTAGGAGGAGTGGAAATGTGAAATGGGGTGGTCCAACACCCGTGTGTGGTGGTTGAGATTAGGAGGGATGTTTTGGCTACATTGGTCCCCCTGGAGAAGCAAGGGGTCCCAGCTCCACACTGCGTTCCCCAGCATAAGGTTCCAGTGCCAGGAAGAGAAGTCTCCAGAACCTCTGTCTGAAACCAGCAGAGATTGTGGCTGAGACAGAGAGCTGCAGGATGTTCTCAGATGTTCCCCTTAAAGGGCCCGTGTGTGAACTTACTCGGTGACAGACTCACTTGTTTGAGCCCCAGTTCTGGGGCAGCTTCCCAAGGAATGCCAGAGACATATGGGAAGGACCTGAATTATCTGACTTCAGGTGAGGGCTGGAGGGGAGGCTTTCTCTCAGATAGGTGGGTTGGCAGATTCCATTGTTGTTTTTTTTTTTGAGCCCACCCCACTTGGCACGAAGAAACAGGTGGCTACCATATCTGAGTCTCCTTCAACCTGACTGACTCTGTCATCGTGCCCAGGTGACTTCCTGAGATGCTACCCCACCAATGTGCAGGCTCACCAAGCTACTTCCAGTGGCTTTTCCATACAAATAGCCTATCTTGGCTAAAGCTGTGAATTTTCCAAAAGCTCTCACAGGTTCACAAATCCCAACTAAGCAGCATCTGGCCTTAGTATGCTCCATACCTCTTGCTGAGCAGCCTCAAGCCCAGCAGTAGTGGCAGCCATCTGTGGATCCTGGTTTGGCCTTTGAAGGCATCTATAAGCCCAGCACAAGTGGGAGCCATCTGTAAATTTATTGGTCACTCTTGCCAGGTGGCTCTGGACAGCGCACAGGCTGAGGCTAAACTTGGCCTGCTGCTGGGCCCCTCCCAGGGGACCCTTGGGCAGGCATATCCAGTGGCTGGATTCAGTGGGAGCCAGGGCACCATCCAAGGCTACATCTGAGGAGGACACACCTGAAGGGCAGACTGGGAAGGCACCAGAGCCCAGCTAAAGTGAATCCTGCTTTTTATGGTCAGCTCCTCACCAGCCAATTATCATAATCAATCAACCCAAGGGTCATTCCCTCCCATCGATGTGCAAACAGAAACCAAAGCTCAACTACAACAGGAGGCATACATAACCCGTACAAAGGATACACCTTGAGCACCTGGTTCAGGTGACCAGAAAAGACTGTGCCACTGGACCCCACAGGACACCCACTACATAAAGCCTCTTTACTAACACTGAGTGACTTAGGAACCCTACTTAAGCCATCTATGTTGGTGATAATGTAGTATTTTCTACCATTACCACATTATTTCCACCCCCTCTGAATCATTTTGGGAAGATCACAGCCACACCCCAACCAGTTGAAATTGAAGTCCCAGAATTCTCTACATGACTACTTAGTTGGTAAGACATTTTGTTTCCTGTCAGAGGCTCTAAACGTTAAACATTACACTTACCACTGTCTTACCACTGTCTCAGACTAGAAAACATTTTGGAAAACCAAGGTTATCAAACACTTCTTTAGTAAGTGCCACTGTCAGAATTTTATATCTCACTTCCTCGCCCCAATCACTGCTCAAACAAAGAACTAATACTTTCAGCTAATGATGCTTTAGAAGTGAGCCTGTGACCCGAGGTGGACATCTATGGTCAAGATTAGTATCTTCAGTTTGGCCTTCCTCAGTTTTATAGTCTCCCATGACTAATTTACAATGCAGGACATAATTTTATTACACGATCACCACTCAATTTTTCATCAGTTTGAATTCTATTCCTTAAATACTCATGTTAATTTGTTCACATAAGGATGACACTTGTTGGGATCTGAGTAGATCAAACTGATACCTTTATAATTCTTAGCAAACAATTATTTTTCTTCTCCTTTTCTGTGCAATGAACTCTAATGTTACTTCAGTCTTAGTTTAGAGCATTTCTGTGGCTTCTCCCATGTCTGGCCCAATCTTAGGAAAAATTAATCGATGTACTTGTGCTTGTGTAGTGCCGATTAAATGTCATGGTGCATTGTGGATTATTGATGATTTGTCTCTTTATCCTTCAAGAACAGTAACTGTCTAGTTATTCTTTTGAATCCATGACTTAATACAGATCTGGGGTTATATTATGTACTCAGTTCATCATGATTCTTTATTCACACAGTAGTTTTAAAAATTCAAGAAACAGTAAATTTATTTTATTCCTTTAATGATTATTGTTATTAAAAGGAGGTATAAAGTCCTGCTCCCAAGTCCAAACCTCTTATTAACTTAAACTTTGAGTTTTCTGAATTACCCAATTTGAAGTAATTCTCTTTAAACCTGAAAAATGGTTTTATTGAAATGTTTGAGATAAAAAATATGTATTGCAAGAAGCATAGACAAACATTTCAAGAGTACAAAATCAGTTTTAGGAATAACATCATTTACCAGTAAACCAACATTGCATTAGAAATGTGCAAAACATTTTGATATGTTTTGTTTGATTTTTAATACTTAACACTCTTTTTTTTATAACTTAGCTTCCCATGGGGAGGTCACTGGTTGCAGGCATTTTATCTATCCACTCAATTTAGCCAGGCTCAATCTACTCAATGCATTTTATCTATCCAGGCTCAATCTACTCAATGGTATAATAGTTCACCACTCTGAGAATTGAATTGTAATAAATCCAGTGATAAGGATTTTCTTTAATGGATCCCAAAGTTAGCTAGAACTTTTAACATCAAGATGTAAAAGCCTGTAAAGTGTTCTAATTCTCTCAGTTCCTATCCCACAGGAGACTAACTTCAGAATTTCCCTTAAGTTTCTCATTTAAAAATAATTCAATTTGCTTTTATAATTGTTCAATGACTGCTTTTTTTGTGTACTGATGATGGTTCACTTACTGAACCATAATTTTCTTTTAAGATCAGGTTACTGATTTAGGGCTTTATAAACTTTGTAGTCTGGTCTGGATTTTCACTGAGAATGACCTTCTCTTGATCGTCTCCTAGATCCTAATTAAGAAAAAGAGAGAACATATAGATTGTAAATGTGATGAAACTTTAGAGTTTACAAATATGATATTCTATGAATAACTATATCTATAAAAGACCATCTTTTCTAATTGTAATAAAACTTTAGTTGGTGTTTTAATATACTTCATTTATGATGATGAAATTAAGGTTATCCTGGGTTTAAAGGTACATGTAAATAATAATTTAAAGTGATGATTTTAGTTCTTCAGTAAATTTGAATAAACTCTTCAATTAAAAGTTACTTGTACAATTGATTATTTAATTTCAAATATCTGTATTGAATTAGCTTAGAATGTATTTATAAGCTGTGCCACATCTTGTGACTATTAGTATGTAATTATTTTAGAAATTCCAAACTTGTAATTTATTCTAAGTTCTACAAGAGGAATTTGAGATTTTTGAATGTGTCAAAATATAAGGTAACCTAACTGGGAGCTTAGAAAATGCTCATAAGCACAGTTATAAATAATGTTGTAGTGCATGGGTTATATAAACATGCATATAATCTACATATTATATGAAAATTTTGTACATAAGTATATTAACATTTTCTTTTTGTGTACAGCTTTCCTTTATGCTTCCAACTGTAGTCTCATCTCAAATAATAACATTTTACAGAGTTTAATTCCTCCTAAACCTACTTTTGCTCAGCTCTGATATTCAAGGATTTCTTTTCAATTTAATTTAACTTGAGTCTTCCTCAAGCGTTCAATATATCTAGCAGTTTGCAGGAGTATAATTGCCTTTCCTTTAATATTTGTTATTCTTAGATGTTACTGAGAGTGCAGAACATGAACCATTTATTTTCTGATTCTTGTCATTAAAATGATTTGCTCCCATATTCACAAACTTTTCTCCCTGTCAGACAGCAAAGTCCAATAAAATATATTAAAGTGCTCTCCTTTTCATTGGTTTCTCTTAAAATAACAAAATAAGTGTCATATATGCATATTACTATAGTTAATACATTTACCTTGAACTCTTTTGTTGGCTTGTATCTTCCTCACAGGTATGTCTAAAATTAAATAGTTATAGTTAGAAAAAAAACTTTGAAATTATGGCTAACATCAGACAGGAGACCATAGTTAAGTAGAAAAGTATAAATCTTAAAATAAACATCACTTGAACATGTAGATTTTCTTTTGGAGTACTCAATTTCACAAACATGATACTTTTGCATGGGCAACAGATAAAATGAACACTTTTCTCTATATAACATGATGAATGTTCACTATTTGCAAAGCATATTGTTTCATTATGGCATTTAAAGCCCCATATAATGTGCCACTTTTCTATAGAGATTTACATGAGGTTTTTATCCTTTTAGTAAAAAGCATGACTTTATGATTAGAGTATGTTTAATATTATATAAAGTTTAGCAGAAGCATCTTCCCAGAGTTATCAACTTATTCTTATTTGTGATGTATCAGACTTCTGTCCCTGTAAATTCTCATTGTAAATTAATTCATGATTATCTTAGCGTATATGAGGACAACAAAATACCACTGGCCAAATAGCTCTAGAAACATAATAAGCAATTCAGGAAATGTATGCCAACATGTCCCCCAATTTAATTCCAATCCTATAAGACCGTTAAAAAAATTAACTATTTGAAGATAATAAAAGTTTTCATATTTAAGACTTTCAGATGTCTATCTCTATGAAGTTTTTGATTATTATAGTTGTAAAATATTTCTCAATTCCCTTATTTGTCTTTTACTTCATCATAAGACCAAGCTGGTAGACCTAACTAAAGTCATATTTTCACTCTGTTGTTGAGCATTTGCAAAGAGGTTCCTACAGTGACTTCATTTTTCTCCTTACTTTTATTTTTTCTCCAAATTTTGACTTCTTGCTTTTAATATATCATCTATATTAGACAATTAAGTCAAAATTTTTCTAGTGTATATATATATATATTAGACAATTATATTAGGCAATTAAGTCAAAATTTTTCTAGTATATATATATATATTTTTTCAATTCTCTGAAAATTCATAAAATGTAAGGCATGAAATTGTCACCAACAGTAATTTGGACTGTGTGACACTGAGTAAAAAAGAAACGCTAAAAATTTTTTGAAGAATTTTATTTCTGTCTATAAGGCATATTTTCAACATGTCTTTCCCCCCCTAGAATATAAGATGTATAACTGTATTAATGTCATAATAAAATACAGAACTGTGGAAAACATTAGATTGGATAGTGAGGGAAGTTTATGTGAGATAGAAAAGTCTGAATTATGAAATATGCTCTAATTGATATACTTTCTTTAACCTCAGATTTATTTGGTAACCCAATATGGCTTATAATATGTAGTTGAGAAAAGGTGGATCCAATCTTTATGTCCATTGTAGATGATGGACATATTAAATTCCAAATAACAATTATTGTATAATTTAATACAAAATCATAAAAGTATTTACAGCATTACTTTTCTAAACAAGCACTTACACTTGGATTTTCTTTCATACACTTGACAACAACCAACTGATGAGCAGCCTAATAAGTAATTTGTTAATTTATTACATTTTGCTATGATAATATCAAAATAAGTGTTCATTATAGCAAACAAACATCTTTAGAAGAAAGAGTGAATAAAGTGCACAAAATCAAATTTCTTCCCAGTGGCTCTTTGCTATCTCAAAACGAATGAGAATTGTATCAGGTCACATTTAGAGAAGCAAAATGAGTAATGATAAAGGAATCACAGAAATGATGCCAACAAAGGCTCCTCTATAGTACGTTTTTTGTGGTATTAAAACATGGAAAATGCTTCAGCTCGATTATTTGTAAGACTTTTCCATTTTCAAGTGGTTATCACTTTGGGAATTTAAAATAGGGTGTAAAATATTACTTTATTGATGAGGTTAATGTTAATTGACTATAATACTGATAATAGCTAAGATCACTGAGAACTTATTGTGTGCTGGGCACTTTTCATATAACTCATTTAGATGTAGGTTACATTACTGTCTCCACTTTTCAGAAGAAGGGACCAAGGCAGAAAAGAATCAGCTTACTTAAATTAGTGTGAGGTGAAGGCCAGATTGAGAGTCATTTCAACAACCTGATCTCCTATATGCTACAGAGCCATAAATCTTTACATGTTATATTGTCAAATTTGTCAAAACCTTCCAAAATGACTTTTTTGGATCCTTTCTCCATAGCTTGATCTTCTTTCTTAATTACTTTAGTAGTTTCAGTAAATGCAGTTTTACCTAAGAATGAAAACTTTATGCATTTTGTGAGAACATTTTTTTTAGTTAAGGGCCCTGAAGTATTTCAGTGACAAAACACAATATTGATACCAAAAGGACCACTTAGCCATATTAATAGTCATGACTTAAATGATTGGGTATATACTCAATTCATTAAAAATGTACTATATATGTCACAATATGAGCAGTTCAGAAAGAAAACTCCAAGCTTAGAAATAAGACTATAGTTTGGCTATAGATCGATTATCTATATTCTCAATGAAAAAAAAAAAAAGCCAGTCCTGCACGATGTAATATTTATTCACACTAGCTTCTTTATAAATTGGTGTCTCTTTAGACCTAGCCAAGAGGATACTTGTAACTCAGGGATGACTCAGTTGTATTATAAGAATGGAAAAAAGAATACTAACATGTCCAAGCAATACCCAGATACTAGTTGATATATTGATTATACTGCTAAAAAAAATCTTTGGAAATGTTTAGATAAAAAATCATGGTGTGGTATTGTGGAAACAGATGTTTTATAGACATTCAGATAAAATATATTGTAAACTAAAGGAATCAGCTTCTGTGATGAACAGATACAAGAGTTAAGGGAAGAGCCCATTAACTAAAAATAGAATAACATATTCTTAACTTGTAGCAGGTATATCTTTTTTCTTGGCTGAAGCTATTCTTTAGTATTAGTTTATTGTTCATAACAGACTTAGGGCTTATTAAAGAAATAAAACACACTTACCTGAATTTTAAGCTTAAATAAAAACTGTAAATAGGTAAATTACTAATTTATTCATTCTCTTAAAAGCACTAGCATTCTACAAAGCTGCTTACTATGGCAACGACTGAAAAAAAGAATTCAATTTAATCTTTATAATGTCTTTGCCTCTTCTCTCAAATTCATATGTATATGAATATGTTAAGCATTTGAGGCAAATGAATGAATTCTGTGTTAGATCTCACAGAAAACTTTGGTTCTATTATGGTTTTGGGAGTGTCATATATTCCCTGCAGTCTGAAAGAAAATCTTGTATTTTTCAGACATTTGCCTTTCTTTTGAGGGGAAATTCAATAATTGGTTGAATAAAACTTATTTATTTTTACTATTGCTGAAAATTTTTAATACTATATGAGATTTATATATATTAAACTAAAGAATAAAGAAACAATAATTGTTGAAAATGCATATGGTCCAAGATATTTTACATCTTCATGGACACAATGATACGATTTGTAAAATTTTAAGCAGAAAAACTATCTGGACCATACTTTGGATAAATACCAAACTTCAGTTGTGTTTCTCAATTCACAGTATATTTTAAGGAGCATATCTGAATTTTCTATGTAATTTAAAATCTTGTTTTTCTAAAACAATATGTCATTTAAATAATTCTGTTGTTAATAAAATGGACTTGAAATTCACTTATTCAAGTAAAAATTATTCAAATTTATTTATAAAATTACTATTTCTTTGAAGAATTACTGTTTAGAGTTTGCATAAAATTTAGAATTCTTTTTTTCTCTTTTGCTCTTAAAAGGTCATTTTAATGCCATAGACAGAGAATGTTCCATACTTTAAAGATTAAGATTAATTTCATATGCAAAATAATTTACATCTCCAGGAATAGATTATCACTTAAACTGTTAGAGGAAACAGATACTCATTCCAAAGAATGTAGTTTTAGGAAAGAAAATTACTAAATGCACTGTTTTTTTTCTAGATATATGCACATAAAGAATCCATAAACATGCCTTTTATTATTGTTGTGGGGGCAGTGAATATATTTTTTAATATAAAAAGTATGTCAATTTAAATTTGTTTAGACCACCAATTTAAAAAGTTTTCCTCTTTCATATACTTAAAATGTCCTTACAATTATCTGTATCAAAGCAAAAAAAGTTATTCATTGCTCCCCAAGCTTTGTACCATAGGACTTTTTAAAGACTGCTTAAACTAGTAATCATTGCTTTATAAATATTAATTAAACTACCATTGAACAAATCAGTCTATTAGGACAGCACATGATATCATCTTTAAAAAAATCTGAATGCTCAGTCTTTAAAAAGTTGAACTCAGTCACCAGAACCTGTTAACGTGTTAGTTGTTTCCATTTTACTAACCTCCCTGAAGCAGTCTTTTAATTTCTTCATCTTCAAATAAATGACCATCACCACCTTCAATGAATTTGGTAACCTTGGTGACCTCTGAGAGGATACATGTATATAGCAGAAATTGGTTTATGTAACAAAAAGACAGGAGACTTGATGTGTTATATAATGGCATCTGCCCAATAATGAATTCCACACCAACACTTGGGTCTTTCTCAGTTTTTAATGCTGTTTTTTCTTTTGATAAACCAATTTTCTTATAAAGCTGTTGAACAACATATAGCAAATATAAACATAATAATCAATATGACTGTCATTTAAATTTCATTCTATATCTTTGGATTTTTTCCTTGTGTTGGTATAGAACTTAAAGAAAGGACATAGAAGAGAAAACATGAGGCCTCAAATATTATTTAGACTTTGATACAGATAGATTAGATAAAGTTATATTCTTATTTATTTTTTTTAGAATGCTGACCTTCTTGCAATAATTTCTTTAGAGTTTCTTCTGTTTCTCCACCACCAGTAGTAATCCTAGTGTATTTTATTTCAGGACCTAAGGGAAAGGCAATAAAATAGATCTAAAACAAGGGTAGGCAAACTTCCTCTGGAAAGGGCCAGATAGTAAGCATTTTAGACTTTGTGAGTGACATGGCCTGAGTTGCAACTATTCAACTTTGTATCTGTAATAAATAGACACTTGGTGTTGAAATAAAACTTTATTTACATATGTAGGTGGCTCAGGCCATAGTTGCTAACTGCTTGTTTAAACAAATACTTATAGAATACTTATAGAAACAAATACTTACAGAATTCAGAATTTTAGCTAATTTATTGGTGGGAGACTAATAAGAGGTTTACCAAAATTGTTAATCAATTGTTTTATACAAACTTCCATATATTTTGATACATAGATATGTAGACATTAAGATTAATGGAAAAATATAAGGAGGGAATGGTTTTAATTTTAGGAAATAATAGTGTATTATATAATATGTACACACACATAATAAAAACAAATACTTATAGATTTATCTACAAATTTCTAATTCAGAGAAAAGCATAGATTACTTATAATATTATGTCTGCTAAGAAGAAATGAAGTAACTTCAGTAACCACCATAAAAATAGATTAGTTTCTCTAATGATTCTTATAGAAATATTTTAGGATTCACTATAGTTTGATCTTTATAACCTAGGCATAGTTTCATGCACGGAATTAAAAATTACCTGTAATGATTCGTTCTTCCCTTGTCTCTTTTTCAGTTATTTCTACAGGCACTCCATCAATGATTTTGGTGTATTTCTTAATAATTGGCTCTGAAAGTAGGGGAAGAAAAATGAATTTGATTTATCTCCTTATGGTATCTAAACCTCCATAAGCTAGACATTGTAATGATATTTCTCAAATCAATACTATTTAGAATGAAATCATAACAACAGAGGTCTAAAAGGTGTTAGTTATGTCCTGAATCTTGGGTGAGGGCAAGAACCAGCTGTCAAGCTAACTCTCCATGTCATATTTGTTTTCTGATTGTGGAATGAGTAATGAGAATCCAGTAAATTCTACATTATTAGAATAAGAATCCTGTGATGATTCCTCAAAGTGGCTTATCAGTCAGTTTTATACAATGGCCATTTTTCTCCTAAGTCTAATATGTTCATTCATATTGACATTATTGTTATCATATTTCATAATCATCATGGCATATGCAGAAGGAATGACAGTTTCATTGAACATAATGACTTAATGGTTAAATTAATTCCAACTAGATCCATTAAAAGGTAAACAATATTTTATTTGACAGGTTAATAAGAACTCATTACTAATAAAAGTATTCCCACAGTTCACATAAAACAGAAGCCCAGAGAAAATATCAGATGTTCAATATATTTAAACCAACACTATTTTAAAATAATCACAGTTATCCTAACCAGGCACTAGGAAATATACATAATGTACCTCCATGGATCACTTCAGTTACTGTTTCACCTTCTGTAGTAAGTCTGAATTTAGGTTCACCTTCAATTTTCACCTTTGTTATTGTGGGTCCTGAGACATTGTTTTAAGAGACAAATTATCATGTTAAATCAGTACTTTAATTTTACCAAGAGGGAATTTATTTTACCATTTTGTGTTTTTCAAACATCAAAGTGGTTTCAGCCTTTATGAAATTAGTTTTAAACATTTCCTATTTTCTTCAAATTAGGCAGTATTTATGAGAACAAATGACTCAGTCTATTGGTGTGTTACTAAAATTACTTTCATTTTTATTAGTATATAAATTTATATATAAATTCATCCATTCATTCATAGCTATAAAATATGATCACACAAAATATATGTGGCTATACTTTGTGAATCAAACAGTATGTACAAATTTGAGTTGTTCTAATAAAAACTAGTCTAGATCTTACTTTACCATACTAAGATTGTCTATTACTCTTTCCTTATCAAAATTTTAATTTAATTTTAATCACTCAGTATCTTATGCTTTTTATCTAATGGGCATATGATTAAATATTTAAAAATTTTAACTTTATGCCTACCTTTAAGATACTGAATTTCAGGTTTTATGAGAAAATAAATTTGAGTACTTACCTTCTATGTAAGAATAATGCAAAAATTTACTAATTAAAAGTTAAACAGTCCTTCAAATGCAAAGTTAAATGAGAGTTGCATTTGACCTACAAAATGATTTTACTCACAGAGAGAATCATTTTGAATGTTAGAAAGCTGATTACTACATTAGTTAATCAAGAATATTTCATAGAGAAGAAAAATAATAATTCAGTACATTTAACTCATACTGTAACACCCTTCAACAGTTGAATGTAACTATATTTGCTTATCTTTGAGAGGATTTATTTGCTTGCCCCAAAATTGTCGCCATACACCATTACCCAGAATGAAATAGTCTAGAATAATTAAAATAATGAAAACAAAAGTATAGTCCTTTCAAATAATAAATACTTCACACCATGATATTTGATCTATGGGCTAGGGGATATAGAGTATCAAAACATAAGGCCAAGTTTTTCAGGTGCAGAAATTTCAAAAGAAAGTATACTTAAGGAGATTAAGAACAGTAAATGTTAATAAATTATCCAAATTGACGATTATTTAAAAGAACCTAAACTGTTATTTCAGAAATATCCTCTATAGTTAAGCTCTATGAAGTAGGGTTTTTTATAATTTTTTTTTTAAATTTACTTCTAATACCTAGGAGAGTAACCAGCACAAGAAGTTCTCAATGAGTATGTGTTGAATTGAATTTCAGTTGATTTATTCTTAATTCCAAAATCCTGTTAAGTATCTTTTTTATTATTTAAAGAGGAAATGTCTCAAAATTTTGTCTTGGAGTCTAATTTATTTAATGAGAATTCAAGAGTCATCAATGAATGAATGAATCTGCTAAAGTACAGTGAGAAGGAAATATCAGCAGCGATCTTAGAGCTGGGAAATTATAAATGGCAGCCAAGATTGGTTTCTTTCACTATGTTACACAGAAGTAAAATTTCTAAATTTTTGAACTAAAGAGTTATTACTGCATTGGTGACATGACCGTATTTTTTATCCTTGTTCTCTTTATAGGAAGAACCCAGGAAGAATTAATGATCCACTGTGTTCCTAACTGAAGAAAGATTAATACAATAAAATCCCACTAACAAAAACTGAGAAGATAAATGGATTGAATAAAGAAGCTTTAAAGAAAAGATAGGAATCTTTGAAAATAAGAACAGCACATGTGAATGATTTCGATATAGAAGCTGTATACTAGTAATTATATAAAATTTTAGAAAATCTATATATACAATGGAATATTACTCAGCCATAAGGAAAGATGAAATGTTGCCATTTGTGACAACATGGATGGATCTTGAGATAATCATGCTAAGTGAAATAAGTCAGACAGGAAAAGTTGAAAACTATATGATTTTACTCATATTTGGGATATAAAAATGAAAGTAACAAACAAACATGATAAACAGACACCCATGGACATGGACAGTTAATTGTGGTTACCAGAGGGAAGGTGGGTGTGGGGGAGTAGATGGAGTAAAAGGTATCAAATATTTGGTGATAGAAGGAAGTCTAAATTTGAGTGGTGAAAACAAAATGAAATGTATGTATGACATATTGTTAAATTGTACACATGAAATGTATTTTATTTTATTAACCAATGTCACCCCAATAATTTTAATTTAAAAAGGTTCTTTTCTATAAAAAATATCTTAAAGGGATATTTCTTATTTTTGCTGATAAAAATAAACTCTAAATAATTTGTAAAAAATTGAGGAAATCTAATTTTTAAAAATTGTACAAAAATTTTAAAATAAAATATATTCCCAAGGTTTATTTGATCGTTTTCATTAAAATATCATTTTTCAACAAAAATTTCTGTGATTTAATTTCTTCTTAAAATACCAAATTTTATTCATCAATATATAAAAGCAAACAAATGACCATAGTATAGTATTTTAAAAAATAAGCACAGATTTCAAATAATACCTCAATTTTAGGTCTCATAATTGAGTAAAAATGTAGATAACTTAAATTAGCTAAGAAATAAACTTTTATATATGTATTTCCAATGTCTAAGTTTTTTAAGTTATGGCTAATTTTTAAAGGAGTAGACAAAAATATTCAAGAATTTTCCATCTCAATTTACAGAATATGAAGAAATACCAAAATCAAAAGTAATTAAAATAATCTCAATTAAGACTAAATTGAGAACAAGATTTATTTATTTTTTTTAGAAAACTGTTTTTATCCTTCTTACAAAACAAAGAAGATAACATGGTCTTTTCTATATGGCAAGTCAGTATATTAAGATGTTTACTCATGGAAGTAAAAACGTCTTAAGGTCTAATCCTTTGTGATAATTAAAATATTAAAATACATGAAAATAAGGTGGCATCAAGATGTTGAAGTTGGCTAACATAGACAGTAGGGGTAGAGAGAACATTATTTAATGTTCTAGTCTGAAGTATCAGGAGAGATATTTAAACTATGTATATAAAAATATGTATGTTCTCATATATATAAGTTCAAGGCTGGAGTTAAGGATTATAAATTTGACTCACTGTGCCAGCTATATATTCCCTCTTCTCCATCTGGTAATGTAATTTCAAAATATATTATGTGTGGTTGTAATTTTAAAAGCTTTCATCAATTTCCAGCTTTCTTTGTGCTTTCTTAAGTTGTTGAGTGAAAAATACTTGAGCTTTTTGGAAGAGCTTTGTATAACAGTACAAAAGGGGTCCATGTGGGGAGATTGAAAATAAACCTACAAAAAGAATATACTCTGGAGTCTGACTGTAGTGAAATAGCTTAGGATTTGTTTAGTGAGTATCTGGGTACTAGTGCTAATGCAATGGCCAATTATGTTCATTTGAAACTGTTGCTCTGTCTTAGTACAGAACAAGCAAATGTACTGAAAGTATTAGGAATGCACCATTTACTTTGTTAAATAATTTGCATTCCACATTCTACAATAACATGAGCATGCCATTGGTATAGAAATATTTAGCATGTTAGTTTTAAAAAAGAATGTAGATACATTCATAGAAATCAGTCTGTTATACAGATTTTTTTTTTTTCACAATAAAAGGAACCATTGATTTTTACCTTCAGTTTTGATAATAGGCTGAAGACTGCCTTCAATGACTTTAATTTTTGGTTCCACAACTTTGGTTATAATTTTAGTTGCTGAAAGTATAGAAAGTGGAACGTAAATAATGTTTATATTAAAAAAGAACCTCAACAAATTTTTTTTTGTCTTTTCTGAGTTCTCAGGTATCTGATATGGTAATATGTTCAGGCAGTCAGATACAGGAAATATTCATAGTGGTATCTTCTCATGTCCAGATGGTGAACTCTGAAGTCCAGTGATAGGAATTGTTCCAGTGAAATATAGACTCACTAACTGAGAAATTCTATCTAGAAATCTATAATTTTTAACTACACCACTAAAGCTCTTTACCTTCTTTTGTACTTCTTGAAAATATTGGCTGCATAGCAACAGAAGACAAACATAATTAATTTCATGCAATTCATAATATCTCTAATTGCATTGTTGAATTCTTTCTCAATTACAAAAAAAACACTAAAAGAAAAAGACTCAAAACATTTTTCATGCATTTTATAACAGTAATGTAGAAAGGAAAACATGAAAAATAGATCAGTATACTTAAAAGTAAAAATAAGTTTCAGCCAGCCAGATATGAGAGCTATGCAACAATCATAATATGATCAGTATTTAAATTACAGGCTAAAATATGTTTAGTTTCCAGCATTATTATCATCCTCATTTAAAAAAAAAAACTTAAAGATATGTATTTTGAGTGAATATCATCCACCCGACTAAAATAATGATGTCCAAAATTTGTTTAAGATAGCATCCAACTATTTGGTTGGCTTTTGATTGTACAGGATAATTGGAAATGAGCCTCTGGAGCCATACAATCAGAGCTACTGGGTTTTTGTCATTTCAAATTAGAAGCCTTAAAAGATGGTTCCATAGATAATAGGCTGCAATAAAGCTAACTGTTCAATCATAACAGATTATGTTAACACTTTAGAGGGTAGATGTTAGCATAGTTTGGCTTTGTATCACACTCTCACCTTAGGTTTCTGGGATGTTTAGCTGTCATCTTTTTAATTAAGATGGGTTCACAACCTTAATTATGACTGTTTCAGTCATATCAGATTTTATATCTTGAGATCTCAAATTATAAAGTGCTAAAATATATCAAATCTAAGTACCTAATTATTGATTCCACAGGAAGTCTTACTTTAGAGGAACCTTTCCATGAAAGTCAAATGCACAGGTCAAATTCATGGGTATTATCAAAATAGATTAACTACTTTTATCTTAAATTTTTAGTTCATGTTAGGGAACTAGAAGTTCAGGATGTTTAGTTGGTAGTTTGGTTTCAATCTTGCTTTTCTGAGGACTTAAACAGTTTTGACAGGTCATGGGCTGAGGATTAAATACTGATTTTATTCCCTGTCACCTCAAATGTTATATATTTGACATACTAAAGGGCATTTCCCGCTTCCCCCTGCCCAAACAATTTAAGTGTATGGTATTTTGGGGAAAAGAATAATGTGTAGCAAGGAAATTAAAGTCAATAAAAGTAACATAAAAATGAAATCTTTGGTTTAATAAGTCTCTACTTCTATTTGAAGTATGCTTCTAAATCACAGCATATTTATTTGAGGAGTTAAAAAAAATTGACATCAGAATATAAATCTCAGAGCTGTTTCAAGAGCTCTGAGTTGGTAGGTGAGATTCATTAGACTTGCATAATTTCATTAAGTGTAATTTATTGAGTGAGGATCCAGTTTCAGTAGAGGATAATAAAGGAACTACAATATGTTGTCATTGTAAGCAAAATATTGTATTGACATATATAGAAAATGGTGGACGTATTATGGATAAAGTAAAAAAAGTAAAGAAACAGTGTAGATATACGTCTTTAGTGGTGAAAGATGACAAACATTTCTGATAAATAGTACTCATAATGATTCTTTGTCTTAATATATCTTTAACATTATTGTATACTTCCATACTAAATTTTATACCATGTTGAATTATGACTATTCCAACTAAATCTTTAAAACAGTGCTGAGCTGGCCTGACACTGAATTCATATACATTATTATTAAATAATTGAACTCAGAAAGAGCAGCAGACATTTTGTTTTGCTCCTTACATTGTCTTTACTCTTTTCCATATCTAGTGTAAGTTGTAAGGAAATTTTAAAAAATTAAATAACAGGATATTCATGGTATAAAATAGAATAATTTTCTAGCCAGGATAAAGTTAAAATAATGAAAGTTAAAATAACGTTTTAGCTACTGATAAATTTTTGCATGCTTAACTGTAGAGTCAAAACAAAATGAATATAATTTCTGCTTTGAAAGCTATAAGAAATAAAGAAAAAGGACAAAGGAAAGAAAGTCACATTGAAAGAGAAATACCACAAGTTATATTTATGAGAATGAAATATTTTTTACCATTGTAAAGTAATAGAGTTTTAATTTTGATAATCTGGTAGAGTCCGGAATAAAAGGACCTTGGAATCTAAAACTTTTGGTTTTATAACCTGGCAAATTTATTTCTTTGTCCAATTTTGGAGGGAGAGAGAATTTTGTAACCACCAACTCATACACACTGTCATAGGGTTCTTTGGCACACTGTCTCCCATCCTGCCCTGAGATGGCTAAGGGCTTGAGAGTAGCCTTATTTCAAGTGGGATGAAATTTGCCATTGTTTAGAATTTTAATACCAGACTATCAACAATCTTTATTTTAAAAAATAAAAAAATATATATTATTTTAATTTTAGTGACAAATCTTCATTTAGTACTTACTGTAGACAGTCATGGGGATTTCTTTGAAGGTACTACCACGAACAAACTGAAAATAATTTTTATAATTAGAAACATAAAACTTAGTTGTATTAAGAAAATCATGGCAACACTTTAATTCTTACTAAAGTAATTAATGTGAAGCTACAATTACACTTGACAGAATTGAAGTCTTCATATGAAACATCTAATTTCCTGCTTTGGTGCAAATGGCATAAAAAACTACTGGGTTTGTTACTCAGTCCCAAAATTTATAGAATAGTTAAAGTTAAGAGGATTTATAAAATAGTATTTCATATAGTTTCTGACACTTTGATACTATAAGGATTAAAAAAAAGCAAAATATTCCTTTGCCTTTAACTACTGTGAGTAGTGACAACTTTTTAAAGTAAATGCTTTACATTTTTTTACATTCAGTAGCAAAGATATTTGATGATAGAAAGATTATAGTTTTTTCTGCATGTCTTATCTGAACTATAAAACTATTTGAATAAAGGGCCATATCTGATTCAAGTTAATATTTCCCATAACACTTAATACACTGCGTGGCTCCACATAGGTTTTAATAGATATTCATTGAATAAAACCATAATAAATTATGTCATTTCTTTTTAGGTGGGCCAGTGGTACATAATCAATGGATAGCAATTCAAGCTTAGTGTACATCTACTCATTATTGTATACATTTCTAGTCTCTTATATTCAACACATTAGAAATAAGTTCAATAATGTTCTGACCTTAATTTGGATGTATTTGATCAGTTTGTTAAGTATGTCCAGCAGCTGATCATTTCCAATAGGTGTGTCTATGAAGACAAATATTAAATGAATATTGGCAAGTATGTGTGAAATAAAAATATAGATTTCTAATATGATTTCACTTATATGCAGAACCCAAGGAACAAAAAAGAACAAACTAATCAAAAACAGATTCACAAATATAGAGGACAATTTGGTGACAGCCAGAAGGGAGGAGGGTTGGGGGGTTGGAAGAATGGGGTCAAAGGTTAAAGAAGTACAGATTAGTAGTTGATAGATGGTCACAGGGATGGGGAGCATGAGATAGGGAATGCAGTTAGCATTAATGTAATGGTTATGTGGAGAGCCAGAGGTGAGAAGGGGCAATTGGGGGGATTATACAATTGTCTAACTAATGTAGTGTATATTTGACACTAGTAAAATAAAATAATATATATACATATTTCTATTAAAGATTTAGTCCATTAATGAATTCAATAATTACCAACCTGCTGGATAGAGGAGTTTATCCACAACATGAATGACACCATTTGTTGTCATAATGTCAGATTCTTTTGATTTCAATTCATTCACCAGAAGTGTATCATTTACCTTTCAAAACAGGGGACGATGTCAATGAGAAATTTGATAATAAATCAACATTAAGATAATTAAATGATAGATTAACATGATCATCACTTTATTCTAGAGAACTTACTCCTTTCAGATAGATTTTGCTTCCTTGTGTGGTCTTCAGAATGTTAGTAACACCAGGTTCGAATCCCTTTCCAATGAAAACTCCTGGTGTTAGGTGATAAAGGATGATGTTTTGAAGAGCATTTTTGTCCCCTAGGGGGAAAATATATATATTTATTTAATAACATATCATCTTTTGTTGACACTTTGATGCTATGAAGACTAAATAGAAAAATATTTTTTTATCTTTAAGTATTATTTCCACAGTGTAATTTCTCATAATGTCACTGTTCACTTAAGTTGATATCAATGCTATGTCAAATATACAGTCATTTCAATCAGTTCAATCAAAATATTATCCAACTAACTGGGAGGAAAAAAAACCAAATTATTTTTGAAACCGTTCCCTTCTTTGTCACCTAATTGTGTCACCTTAATAGAAATAATGAACATCTAACCCAACATGACAGTATGCAGTTAATTAAGAAAATTAATGAGTGACTCTCCACATACTCCAGGTGAAATTAAAGAAAACTAAAGCTAGACAAGAATATGAAAGAGGAGACATTTTTGAGGCTGTTGTCTGGGCAAGAACACTTGAAGAGGAAATGAGATCCTGAAATCAAAGGACGAATATCTGGTATTCATGTTTACTTACGAATCAGAATTTCCTTTTCTTCATTAGTCATTCCTTTAAAGGCATCATTAGTTGGAACAAATAAAGTCCAATCCCCAGGTTGTGTCAGGAGCTCTTTCAAATCTGCAGCTTCTAGAAGGCTGAGGAAGATGCTAAGCAGGAAGAGCATGTGTTTATTTTGTTAGATTTATTTTTTAATTAAATTTATTTGGATGACGTTGGTTAATAAAATTATATAGGTTTCAAGCGTACAATTCAATAACACATAATCTGTATATTGCATTGAGTGTCTACCTTCTAAAGTCAAATCTCCTTCTGTCACCATATATTTGAACCTCTTTGCCCATATCTACCTCCTTTCCTCCCCACTTTCCCTCTGGTACCCACTAAGCTTTGTCTGTGTCTATGAGTTTTTGTTTCTTGTTTGTTGCTTTCAGTTTTACATCTCACATATGAGCGAAACCATATGATTCTCAACTTTTAAATTTAGATTTAAGTCTGGTATGCTCTCCCACAATGTATGGAATAGAATAAAATACATGTATTGCAAAAAGCATGAGAAAATTGTTCATACATTTTCATGTTTCCAATGCAATTTACCTGTTAAGAAAGTTTTATCATGGGGAAATTATTTAAATGTACATATGACTTTTAAATTTCCTAAGCTTTGTTTTTATTCTATGAAACAAGACAATGTCACAATTTATAACAAATAAAAAGCATTTTTTTGATTTTATATTTTACTAAAGTCTTTGCTAGTATATATTATCATTTAAAAAATTTAATTGTAGAAATAAGGAGTAGTTCAGTTTATGAAATTGTTTTTCAACTACCAAGTTATATTACAGTGCATCGAGGAGCGAAATAAAGTTAAGAACATATTTCAGTTTTGAAAACATTTGCATAGACTTCTTATTCTAAATTCTATTCTTAGCAATACTGAATACTAAATGCATTTTGGAATACTAACTGTGAAACAAACATATGATAATAGCTCTCATTCTTTTGTGAAGGTGAAACTAATAAGCTTACCTGAAGCGTTTATCTTGTTTTAATTTTTCATGAAGGGATTTCTCTGCTGGCTTGATGATCTCTTGGAATATGTGAATTGCACCATTTCTTCCTTGCTTGCTTCCTCTCACCATGCATGAATTTTCAATGCAGACAGCCTAGCAAAGAAAAAAAGATACAGCGGTCCATTTCCTTACTTGAAATTTCCAATGTGGAAAGAGTCAAATAATTAAATGTCTAAATTGATGCTTCTAAGAGGTCACCTGACCTCTATGGCCAAAGGAAGCAGTTTCTCTTCTCTGTTTTTAAGATTTTGCACCATCTGACATCACACTTCTTATTCAATCATGTTTTCTACCACTAGTTATACCACCCTGTGTGTCAGGCAGGTAGTTTTGTCACTAAATAACAAAAGTTCCATAGAATTCCACTTCAACATTTTCCATCATTCTTCTCTATGTTCTAACCATTTTCCTAACCCTCTTAGGAAACTTTAATCCTTTCACTCTTTAGCTTCCTCTTTCACCATAAAGTTTCATGACTTCTGTGTCTCTTGTGATCTTCAGAAATATTTATTATATTTTCTTGACTGTAAGATCAATTATAAGTGAAATTATTGATTTAGTTATAGTGTTTTTGAACAAATATGTATAATTTAAAGTGCAGTTCATTTTCTGAATCCTTTAAAATGTGTGTCTTGAAATCGTGTACCTGTAATGAGCAGTTATTGGGTATTACATTCAATTATAGGTAATGTTTGACTTTTTGTGAAATATATTAACTACAGCTGCATGTGCTGCCTGGGCTGAAACTGAACAGCACCACTAGTTACACTGCAATTTTGATAAGCAATATTTTCTAGAAATTTTTCCTCAGATAAAGTACATTAGAACCATTTTATAGAGTTCAGAAATTATTATGCATCTATAAAAATTTATTTTGAAAGTTATTTAAATAGGTTCAGTGGCTGAATTGTAATCTTACAGTAAAACATCATCCTACATATTTAATCCTATATAAAAATTACCATGTAAACTTAAAGGACTATAGATCAATATATAAATAGCCAACAGATATATGAAAAGTTGCTCAACATTACTAATCGTCAGGCAAATTCAAATCAAAGCCACAGTGAGATACCATCTCACACCAGTCGGAATGGCTATTATCAAAAAGTCAACAAACTGCAAGTGTTGGTGAGGATGTGGAAAAAAGGAAACCCTTATGCACTGTTGATGGGACTGCAAAGTGCTGTAGCCACTATGGAAAACAGTATGGAGATTTCTCAAAAAAATTAAAAATAGATTAACCATACAACCCAGAAGTTCCACTACTAGGTATTTATCAGAAGAAAATGAAAATGCTAATTTGAAAAGATATATCTATATTTTCTCTCTTCTCCTCTCCTCTCTTCTCCTCTTCCATTTTCTCTCTTCTCTCTTCTCTTTTCTCTCTCTGTCTCTCTCTCTCTCTGTCTCTCTCTCTCTCTGTCTCTCTCTCTCTCTCTATATATATATATCTCCTTAGTTCATTGCAGCATTATTTATAATAACCAAAATATGGAAGGTGTCCATCAATAGGTAAGTAGATAAAGAAGATGTAGTGTATATATACAATAAAATAATATTCAGCAATAAAATAATGAAATCTTGCTATTTTTGACAACCTGGATAGTGTTAGAGAGTATTATACTAAGTAAAATAAGTCAGAAAGAGAAAGATAAATGCCATATGGTTTTAATTACATGTGGATTATAAAGCAAAAACAGAACACATAAAACAAAACAAAAACAGACTAATAGAAACAGGAATCAAACTGATGGTTTCCAGATATAGGTGGGGTTGGGAGATGAGTGAAAAATGTGAAGAGGAATATAATCAATAATATTGTGATAAGTTTGCATGGTGACAGATGATTACTAGATCTAGTGTGGTGTTCACATTGTAAGGTATATAAATATTGAATCACTATGTTATATAACTGAAACTAATTTGTATACAAACTATCCTTGAATTTTTAGAAAGCTTATTTTATAGGAGTTTTAGCAGCTTCTGGAATTGAAATAATTAATGCTTTAGAACATAAAGTTATTTATAATAACTTTATAATGCAAATTTTCTGCTGTCACCAAATTTCCCGACTTATTAATATATAATACTTTTTGTGTAATTTCTCAGTCTTTTCATACATGTTGCTCAGCTACCTGATCTTCTTATGCATATTTATCATTAAAATCACATAATAATTCTGAGAAACAATTGTTGTAACAACACTTTCACAAATGCATGTCATTTGACACTTAGGCCAATGTGGATATTTTCTATTTTTCTGATTCACTTACTGTACGATACACGAAGACTCTGAGCTGTTTGCCTCCAATGGTTTCGAGTTTTTGTCCATTGTAAAGCTCGTTAAGGCCAACTTTTACTTTCAGTATGTGATTCTGCAGAATTAATTTAAGAAGGCGCTGATCCATGCTCAGAGTATCATCTATAAATAAATTTTTAAAGAAAAAGATGATTTTATGTAGAAAGCATTTAAGTTTCTCCTGGTAAGAGAAAACTATGAAAATAAATAATTCAATACTATTGATATTATGGATTCAACACTCATATATGACTCAACTAAGTGTTGAAGGCAATGAATTCTATGCACCAATAGAAACTCTATGAGCTATTTCATCAATTGACTATAACATGATTCCAAGCAGTCCAAACTATGGGTTTCATTTCTGTGAGGGCTACATAGTTTTACGTGGTCTACGGTTAAAGTTCAACTCTAATGCTGGTCAAAACGTTTTCTGAGAATTTGATATCCGTTAGTCACATGAAAGACTACCAATGAATCATTTGTAAATTTATCTTTATTACTGAGAAAAATCAAATCACACAACCTCTTAAAGGTGGGTTAACATATGGACATTGTTAGTTCAAAGAAGAAAAACATTTCTAGGAATTTGAATTTTTTATTAATAATTTCTATATCACAATTTAGTATTTGAAAATATGCAAAAAAGGTAATGCTTATTTGTTTATTTAATTATTAAATTAAGCTAATGTTTTAAATATGTCTGCGAAATCACTTTTCTGGAAAAAGTAGCAGATAGCATTAATCTAAACACTGTAAACACTGTCCTTGAAGAACAGTTACTAGGTAAAATACTTATAATAATAGTTTACATCTTAATATGGAAGTATATATTTCCTTGTTTTTATTAATTTATAATCTAACATCTTGTCAAATTCTAAAATGCAAAATATATCTATTTATTCCTAAATATTTTTGTGTTAGTGTTAAATAAAGAAATCAAATTTATTTTTCTTAGGAATCGTAATGTGTGTTGGAAATATGGTTATATTTAGAGAATAAGTGAATATCCCTTACCACAAACTTTCACTCCCTACAAGCTATTATCTATTATAATGAAATGTTTTGTAATAAAGGACATTTTAATAGAGACTACATAGTGCTAATATCTTGTGTGTAGCCAATGCAGAAACTAATCAAAACCTTGTAAAATGTCTGTTGTTTCTTATTGCAGACAATCATGGTGAAGTAAAAGGGTGTGTTTGGTTGGGGGAAGGGAGGGCAAGAATGACAGTGTCCAGTACGTACCAGAAAATGCATTATTCACAGGTGCCAGCAAAGTATATTCTCCATCTGGTCTCAGAGAAGATGCCAAACCTAACTGGGCCATGAGGTCTGTGAAAGTGGTTTGCTGATTTCCAGCCAGCTCAATAACTTGTTTGGCTGTAAAATAAACCATTGCCATCCCCCAAATGTCATCATTGTTATTATCATCATCATGAAATTAGTAAATCAATTCTTGGCTGTTTTCTATAAGCTGTTTGCTGACAATGTGATAAGACATCCTGCTTTTCCCTAATAAGAATTCCAGCTTCTCTTTTTGGGGGTTGATAACCACAAAACATTTCAGAAGGAAAATATCTTTCTGTCTTCTTAGTTTCTGTTTTCTTTAATTTTCTATTGCTCACCTCTTGACTCTAATCTGAGCACTATAGCTCTTTCATTTATATGAAGCTGACTATTTGGTTATATATTTCTTTATATTTTCCAGAAAACTGGTTGTGTGAGAACTTTTATAAACAGTATACCTAGAAAACCAAGGTATCATGTATGAAATGCCAATGATGACACGAACACAAACTTATCACTCACCTCCCTATTTACTTTGTGTTTGTGCTTCACATATCCTTCCTTATATTACACACTCATTTTTCATGGACTTACTCTTGAGGCATCATAACTGATAAAAAAAAAAAGTAGAAGAAAATGAAACTGTTGCTTACCAGAATCAGGAATCAGGACTTGATCAATCAAATGGATAACACCATTGTTTGTAACAATATCTTTTTTGTTCACCATTTTGATTCCATTTACTGTTATGCTATCACCATCACATCCTATCTCAACTGTGTTTCCCTCCAGAGTCTCAAAGACTGCTCCTCCCATAATAGCTTCAGAACACTGCAGAGTGTTTAAAATGTGATACTTCATGAGAGCTAGAAGACAAAATAAAGAGAGCGAGCATTCATATCAAGAGAAAAAAGCATTTTACCCTTAAAGCCATGTTTCACTGTGGAACTAATTACTCCTAACAAATATAATACATAAGTAAGACCTAAGGATTTACCGAAAGTTTTTAAATTCTAAGTTCTTGGTTTTTTTATTTATTTTTTATTTTTATTATTTTTTTTTAATCAACTATATTGCAGAAAAGGGTCGGTTAAGTAGGGAGTAAGAAGGGAAAATCAGTTGCATGAAATGATTTGTGTAGTACTAGAAAAATGTTAGATCAAATTCCCACTAACATAAAAAAGTAATTTCTGATGTGAAAGTAAAAAAGAATTGTTCCACTCAGAATGCCTATAAAGATATTTCTAGTACTATCTTTCCAAAACACCCAAGCAGTATGTTGCATTAGACACTGTTAATAGAATAGCTGTACATAATTCATAAAGAGGTTAATAAAGGCTGAATAACAAATCAATTTTTAAAGACAACATATAGAATGTAGCCACAATATAGATAATTTCTTGAAGAACATCTGCAGGGATATAAGACAATCAAATTATATCTATGTCTGTATCTTCAAAATTTCTATCTTAAATTGGTTCAATATGTTTTGGGATAGTTTGAGTAAATGAAATGTATTAGTTACCATGTAAAATCTACTTTAAAAACTCTGTGTATCAATAAGTAATGGCCCAAGAGAACCATGCAATTTTTCTCAACTTAGTATATCTTTTAGCATAAATTTAGAATTAAGAGCATTTCATAATATGTATATGATATTAAAATTTGTTGATCTAATATTTCATTTTAACATTTGCTAATCCTTTTTAATGTTGCTATTTATTTACTTGAAAGCAGTGCAAAAATGTGATCTTTAGGAAATTCTTATTTTAATTACTTTAATTAATTATTAAATTAATTACTTAATTGCTCTGCATACTCTTTGAAAGAGTATTAATTAAATAATTAATTTGATTAATTATTAATTAATTTAATTTAATTAATTATTAAATTAGTTATTTAATTACTTTGCATACTCTTTCAAAGACTTTGGTATTTAAGATTTTTATAGTCCACCTCAGAAATGCTTTTCTTTCTCTTTGTTTATCAAAGCTGATAATATTAGCATGACAATCTTGTTTTTTGTTTTTGTTTTGTTTTGTTTTGCTTTAGTTCATTTTCTTCTTGTATTCTGGGAAGATTCTCATAGAGAAAGGTGTTTTTGTACCTTCAGAAGCTACTTTGTCTCCCATGATCCTTTCTAGGACACCCCGTGGAAGTTTCTCAAAAGCCTCATTGGTGGGAGCAAAGAGTGTGAAGTGACCATCTCTTCCAAGGGCTTCCAATATATCAGAAGTGATGGCAGCTGCCTGAAACAAAAATGTGCTTTTCAGAGGCTTGCACATTGCAAATTGAAAAGAAAATTATAACACACTTTACTTAGTCTGACACGAAGGAGCCCATTTTATAGAAAATTATTAAAGTTTGCTCTTGTTAGATCTTTAAGACATTACTTTTTGAGACACCAATTGTAGTTTTTCCAACTCTCCTTGAACTATGTTTATAAGAATGAAAATTTTGCCATTGTTTGTATGACTGTAGCAATATCCAGCAGTACCTATAACAACTGTGATGGACACATTCTAAATACACTAAATAGACTGCAGTCACATAGTTAACCATTCTTTATCTATATTGTCCACATAAATATTACTATTTCATATGAGATGATTTCTTTTGTCTGAAATGAAAAGTCTCATTTTAAGAAATATATTTGTTATATTTCTGCCAGATTTAACAGCATTTTTTATTGTTTTTAGATTTCGGCAGGAACAGTGAGGGGATTTCAATGATCCAACGTGATCTACTGTTACTTCTTGTACTTACCCTGAAAGATGAGAGATCATCTTCTGCTTCAATGAAGTCTTGGATTGAGGTACCAATTTGTGTAAGGACACGGTCAATGACGTGTACAACACCATTTGTTGCAATCTGGTTCCCATGAATGATTCGAGCACAGTTAACAGTGACAACCTATAATTATTTGAGAAAACCAAACTGCAAGAATCAGAGCTATCCACTGACCACTGACACAGCAAGCCTACTGACTATTTTTCATTTATGCTAGTAAAAGTATCAGTGAAGAAATCAAAATTCTGAATTTAAATACTGAGAATGAAGAGTTTCATATTGTTATGTCTAAAACTTGAGTAGAGAACTTGAGTAGAGAACTCAAGTTCAGTTACATTTAACATATCATAAAACAAAAGGCAAAACATTTTTTAATTTGAATTATTACTTTTATTCTTTTCTTTTTTTGAGGTAGTAATCAACTATTTCTAATATAGATCAGTGAATTACATAAAGGTCTAAATAGTCTGAAAATAATTTCTGAGAGAGAAAAACAAATAATTGTTGCATTAATATAATTGGTTCTGTTCTAGTAATTTTCTAAATATTGCTTCATCAGTGACCTTTCTTGTCTCTGAAAATTTGACTGTTGAAAGAGCCCTATGAACTTGTAAGCTTTGTGCAAAGACTCTTATCTACACAAAAATCTAAATCGATATAGTAAACAGAAGGTGAATACAGGAATACTTATTCTCCAATTATTTTTTGATAAACTCTCTGCTACATTCTTATTTATTATTCTTTTCGATATTATATTTTTAATTTTTTTCTGTATTATATTTTTAAACACATCAAGTACTTTATTAGAACATCCAAGTCTACTGTCAATAAACTGTCAATTTAATTTCTTCCTCATAATCACCCTTGAGTATAAGTCAGTCACTTAATCAGAAATTTGCATGCCTTAAATGTGGAGAAAGTCATGATATGGCACTTATATTCACTAACTTTTATTATTTCTGTGAATATTATATAAAAAGTACAGAAAAAAATTAAGGGCACTATTACTCAGAAGTGTACTGTTTATTAATGAAACTTACCCCATTAGGATAATGGTTAATGAAAAGCCCCAAATTGTTGTACATTGAAGGAACAATCATGCCATTTTTTAAGTCTTTGGTTAACATTCTCTTATTAACCATATGGCTATGTAAAGCATTCAATAATTCAACATTTACATTGCTCTCCAAGCCTCTACGAATATCCTAGAAAAAATTAAAATGACAGACGTTTATTTTATTGTTCATTATTAATATTCTTACAATTATACTGTTTCTCATCTCTTGTTATTACATTGTTTAGCTCGGCAAACCAAATTGGCATAAATAACTTAAATTACATTGTATCAATTGATTAAGGAATTTTGTAAGTTCAGGTACTCAGTTAAGGATCCTGAATTTTTGGGTACTTTTACAAAAATAAGTATTTTAAATGAATATATTGAGAAAGAGACAATCTCAATATAAAAGCTTAGGAGGATATGAAATTTTTAAAAATTATTTTGAGTGGTAAACAAAACAGAAAGTACTATATTTGTATGTACATTTTCATTTAATCAAGGATTTTGTTTATTCAAAAACAAATTTAAGAATTCAACCATTCCGTACTTTTTTATTTACCCAATAGCATATATTATATCATACTATACACAGTGCTATGGAAAATACAATGGTCAGTTGAAGTTTCTCCCTTTAAGGTACTTATATAAAGGCATGTAAAAATAAACAGTAAGATAAAGGCCAGAAGGAGTAAAAATGTTTTCAGGGGTTAAATGAGGAAAGCCAGCTATTCAAGGTTTGGAGATAGGTTTTGAAGGGTAGATAGGATAGAAATGGTGTAATGATCATTCTAAGTCCAGTTGCTGACAAAGGATGAATATTAGGAGAACATAAGTTGTCCAATGTGGTTAGTACATACTTTCATGTCTCTCAGATAATATTTAAAAAACAATATATAAAAGTATGTAGGCAATAACAGGTAAGACTTTAATGCCCGAGTAAAGCATAAATGAAACTGGCAGTGGGAAACTATTAAAAATTTTGTGGCACTGAAATATAACATTTAGACTGGGCTTTAAGAAGTTTAATACAGAGGTAATGCATGGCAGAAATGAGGGTATTAGGAGGGTAAAACATGGCATATGGGGGATTAAGAGTTAGTTTGTAAGAACCGGAGAGAGAGGAGTTAAGGATGACTCACAATTTTCAAATCTGAAGACTGAGGTTACTATTGCCAATTACGGGGAAAAGGCAGCTGAAAAGCAATTATGGGGAGAAAGAGGGTGGCATAAATTTTAGATACCTTTTCAATTAATGGTATATCCAAGTAGAAATATTAAGATGGATATTAATAGTCTCTTGGGGTTCCAAGGAAAGCAAGTACAAGAAAGATTTCATGATTATATGCACTAAAGTGATAGCTGAAGCTATCAGAAAATATAAAGAGCAAAGTCTCTTCCTGCAGACTTTAATAAGACACATTCTTAAGGTAAGGAAGAAGAGTCAACAAAAGAAACCAGAAAAGTGGTTAGAGATGTGGTCAAAGGTAACCAGATGAAAGAGAGAGAGAGTTCTATAATGAGAACAGTTAACCACACAATTAATGTAGTAAGATAATATTTAGAAGAATCTACCTAAGTTTTACTAAATATTATTCAACTTTAGTAGTGATTATCAGTGCATCTTCATATCAAGTACAAAATAGGAATATATTTCTATACTTGCTTTACAGACTTGGAAATTGAGTCATAATGTAGTACTATGCACAAAAAGTCTGAAAAATCAAATGCATTATTTACAACACTTCATTTAAATATCCACACATGTATTTATACATCTGTCAATCCCTGAATGTCCATATGTGTTTACATATAATTAAAATACTAATACACTTTATAATAAATTTTAAATTCCACTAGGCTTCTTAAGTTAACATTTTATTAGATATGTTATCTAAAATTACACATATTTTCTCACAATCAAAAATGAAGTTACTTCATTTATGCACATATTACAATAATTTACTCTTTACCCTCAATAACTTATCCTTTCATGTATTTTCACATATGTATAATAGAAAGATATAAAATTTCTATTATTTTTCAACTTAATAAGGTAATTAAAATAAAATAACAATAACATCAAAAATAATTATATTAAAAAATAATTAATTACAGAATCCAAGTTGTCCCAAGCTTCATTACTTGGTGCGAAGTAAGTGAATGATCCCTTTCCTTCTATCTCTTCCCTCAGTTTTGAGACATCGGAATAGTGCTGTGTTGTGGTGGCTCCCACAATGCCCAGAGTACCATAAACATGGTCAATAGGCATAACTGAAATAATAAAGTAATGAATAAATATTTAAGATTTTATTTCAAGAATATTATTTCACACTCATTTACACATTACACTAATTCCCCAATACAAAGAACTGATAATTTTAACAATAAAATTATGAGTCATCGACTTTATATGAAAATTGCATTTTGATGCTAAGTAATGAAATACTATTGAAAACTTGTTTCATATATCCTTTGTGTTGAGGGAAAATAAATTTTAAATTGTCATCCTTGTTCAACATTTAGTCTATTTGGGTGTCAATCTTTCTATGTCAATAATAGCTCAATTGTAATTATCAGTAAATATCTCTGGTTATTTCACAGCAAAGGTAGTATTTTCTTTCACATTGGCTTAAAGTTCCTAAATAATATGATATTGTTAGATATAGGGATATAATTTTTATAGATGTCGGTCTCTTAAAAGAAATAGATAGACCTCCTTCTCTTCATTATGACCTCAGGAAGGAAATAGATCAAAGTATCTAACACTTCCAGAACAGTTTTCCTGAACTTCAGAAGAAAACTAATACATGAATGTCAATCTGAAGTTTGGTTCAGGCACTTATATTTTATAATCCTATCTTATTTGAAAATTAGTCTGATTTGGACAATATCATAGAAGAAATGTTTATTACATTTGTGAATATAACAGGAATAAGTAATATAATTAATATTTTAAATTATAAAATCAGGATTGAGAAAGAACCCAACAAGATAGGGAAAATGAATCAAAATTAACAGGTTAAATGTAACAGGGTTCTATGTAAGTTCCATGCTTAAGTTTACTATAATCAATATTAATTGACTACAAATTCAGTATGAGCTAATGATATGACTTTGTAACCAATGACATTAACCAAAATGGAGGTATTTGTCTTAATATTCTCTCAGCTGCTTAGACCCACATGAATTGTAAACACCAGTCTGGGATCACAATCAGAAAAAAAGATGACTGAACTAGAAGATTTTTATGGGTTGGTGTCCATGACAGTGAGGCTCCAAAGTCTCTGTAACTTCATAGGAAGTGAGGATGACTAGCCCAGAGAAGAGATGATTCTGTTGGGGAAGAGAGAGTAGCTGGAGGAAGGGTGTGATGATCGGTGTTAAATATCAGAATTGCTGTCATTTCAAAGAGGAAATAGATGAACTATTTTTTCTCTAGTTTGCAGAGTTATAGGAAACCAACTTCCAATATGAAGAACATTGTAAAATCAGAACTGTTCAATTAGAAAAGATGATGCCTTGCCCAGTAATCAGCTACATGTTTCTAGTCAAATTCAAAGAAAGGGATTTTTGTAGAGGGAATTTTTGTTCATGAAGGAAAGCTGAACTAATTTAAATTTATGACTGAGTTTCTGTTGTATTGTTCAGCATTCAGTGCGTGAGAAGTATATTTTAATACTTTATCACCATGATAAATTCATAATTAACATGAATGAGAGTATATGTAGGCCTTATTATGATGTTAAACACACACACACACACACACATACACACACAAATGGCTCCTCTAAAAGCTACCTCAAACTTTTTCCTCACACAAGTTCCTCATTTTATTCAATAATTGAAATTTTACCTGCTGGGCAGCCTTTCATTCCTTCCATTCTCATATAACCAGGGCAACATTCATATAACACAGTCCTGTATGTTGGGAGAAAATTAATATTAAAATGGAGAACTACATAAAATACATTTTGACACAAATTTAATAAAGCATATCACCTATTGCCATGAATATTTAAGAATCTAGAAATCGTTTCTTTTTTCTGACACCGAGGTATTTATATTGATTTGATTTTTAACTATAGCCTTACGGCATTGTGGAAAATTCTAAGATCTTGAGACAGAACAATAGAGTTTGGTTCCCAGTTCCACTATTTGGCAGATGTGTGACCTTGAGCAAGTTATTTTACAAAGCTATAATGCCTATTCATAGGGTGGTTGTGAATCTCAAAATTCGATTTGAAAATCATTTTGTAAATTATAAATAGGTAAAAACGTTTATTAGCATAAAGTTATTAAAAACTAGAAACATCAGGAAATGAATTTTGCCATTCTGATCAATAAAAGCTATCTCATTGCTAACTAAAAGAATGCCATTTTTGTTTTCAATTGCCAATAAAGTTTTCATTTGGTCATATTAAAGAAAACTTTTAAAATCTTCTATTTTGTAAAGTTTGAAAAAACTAAATTTAAATGTTTGCTTGAAGTTACGAGAATAAAATGTTCAAAAGATGCTACTCCATTCAAAGTTAACAAAGTATGTTAAATTATATATAGGCAATAATTAATTAAGGTAACAGACCAGAAAATTTAAGCAAATAAAGATATATCCAAAATAGCTCTCCAATTTACTGTATTTTGTGAGAAAATAATAACCTGAAGTCATCTATATAATTTCTTCCATTTTTTCACTTTACTAACTATATACCTGATCTTCATTTTTCTAGACTTTTTAAAGATCTATTATAGATAGTATTTTTAATTAAAATTTTACAGAAGGCTTTGTTTCCTCTCAGTAGAAATATGAAGATGAATGTTGTCAATTGGAAATAAAGAGAATAGTACAAGTAAGAGGAAATACAGATCATTTTGTCATGTCACTTAAGGTACCTACTTATGGACTAAGTTTCTTGTAATATAGTAATTAAACATATATTAGCTCATCCAGATATTTCTTTCCAGCTTTTAATCTAGTTTTGATAATTATGCTACAGAAGTTTAAGTGAATTAATTTCAATATATTTATGAGAAAGATCACAAGTTATAAGCATACAAAACTTTTTCTTGGTATGATAAAAATTGCAAAAGGTTAATTTTCAAAAAGTAGAATTTTTAGTGATATAAGAAATGGTCTTATAGAGTTAACCAAAAGTAAATAAGCTTTTTGAATTGAAACCAGCTCCATTAATTGTTTGTCTATGATTTGTGCTCCTGTTTATGATCTTGGATTCCTATTTCTCTTTTTTCTCAATGCAAATTTTAAAAGTATAATGTAATGTTGTTTTTGAATATACATTTATATGTAGTAAAATATGACAACATGAATGAGAAAAAATTCTGACATGAAATACTGGCTTAAGTATAGTTGATAGATGACAGACAAAATTATGTAAGAATGCTAATTTCAAATTGTTCTCTAATTTGAAAATAATTTCAAAAATAGGATTTTTTTAAAACATATTCAAACATAGGAGACCCCAAAACAACTTTATTTATATAGTCTCCATATAAACAGTTGGATATTTGATGTCAAGGGATTAAGAATTACTTACACATTCACTTTGTCGTATACTGCAAACAATAAGAAAATGAGACATATTTTATAGTTCATGACTGAAAAAGTTTACTTGAAATAAAAACGTAAGTAAAAGAGGAAAACAAAAATGTAACAGAAATTTCTATAACCCAGGGATCAGTCTTAATGTAGAGAATTAATATACTAGATGGGATAGAATTTCAAAAACATCAACAGCAATTTCAGCTAATAGTTAAGCAATATGGTTATCTGAGTTGATATTTTAAAAACAGATAAAGTAGTTTTTCAGGAGAATATTTATGCTACACAAAACTCAAAAGTTCCCATATGGTCGGTAGAACAAACAAGAGTAAAAAATTACTACATACATCTACGAAAGTGGGAAATTTGTCTTCATTTTTTGAGTAGTATTTAAAATCTCATGGAAATACCAGCTGAAAATGTCACTGACACTCTTTAAAAGGAAGTCTATAAAATTCTATATTACTTGACCAATACATATTTTGAGAAATACCTTAAATCTACGAAATTTTGATTTTCATTAGACCTGCCCAGTTGTTCTCCTTATATCTCCAAGCAACTGTTCAATCAGAAGACAAACATTTCTCTCAACTAAGACATAAAGTCTTAAAGATATCATTGGAAATTTTAGCCACTGAAAGTAGATGGTAAATTAGGCATTCTTTCTGTCAATATTGATTTCTTTGGTTATTTGAAACTAGCAACTACTATTTACATTTATTCCAGGGCATAGATGTAAATGTGTTTGTGAAAACTGAAGTTGTTCAGGGGAAATAAGCCAATATAATTAAACAAAAGAGACATTGTTATATTTTTGGCTTCAAAATGGAAAAGCTTTTTTTAATGAGAAGCAAGAAAAAGTCTTGGCCTATGCTTTGGACAAGCCTTGGCATCTCTAATATATTTGGATGGATAAGTAAGATTATATCACGCTTCTTAACTTCCAGGAAGGATGTAATAAAGATTTCCACTAAATATTTCTCTTATGTAGTTATCATGCATTCCAATTATGCCTCTTGGTAACCATGAATAGAAAGAACAAAGAGAAGAATTTAGTCTTGGAGTTCCCAGCCGGGGCCTGGTCTGCATCATTGCAGCCACTGACTTGTAATTGTAATTGTAAATGCATGAATGACTCACAAGTCTAGCACATGTCTGCACACAAATAGTACTAATGCCCATGTCAAAAATGAACATCATTGAAACTCTATTAAGCCAATAAGTGGAAACGGGCAGCAATGTCCTGTGATGTCCTAGATTTGGTTACCATAGGGAGGTACAGTCCACCTAAAGTTATATGCCTTCAATACCTACTTATTTGGAAATAAATATAATCCTATGGATTTTATAGCTATCTTCTCATAACTCCTTTTCCCATCGACATATGTAACTTGTTTAAAATAGTTAAAATTTAAGTTAAAATTTGATATTGTGAGTTAGTTGTTTAGTGATTTCACATTTGTCTATTCAATTTACGTTCAGACACTCTGTAAGTATTAAGTCAACATTTCACAGGTAAAGAAAATGAAGACTGCAAGAGGTTAAATAACTCCACATTTATTATTTGTACCAATATTAAGAATAAGTTTCTAACAATCTTCCAATCCTTCTATACTATTTAGGGTAACTGACATTTAATAATGATGTGATAAGCAGGTCCTCCTTGTGGTACACTAGCTCTCAAGATGTCCCTCACTGTGCCTGGGGTCTAAATAGGAAGCAAGGAGGAACCATTTCCACTGTTTTCCTGATTGGGGAGAACACATTTAATCTTTTTGACTTAGTAACTTATTCTGTGACTCAGGTCTTTCATTTTAAAATGAAAACTTGGACCACATGAATAGTTCTCATCATGCCCAGAATTATATTTTTTCTACTAATATTTATTGACAGATTAAACCAATAAGCATATATATCAAGTAATAAAAATGATTTTCAATTTTAAATTAATCAGTGAAATACATAAGTTAAAAAGTGATTGTCATTTTGGTTATTGAAATAGTAAACATAGTGGTAGGCTTTATCACCTTTGTGGACACCTGGGCATCTGACAGTTTGTAATGGATTACTGGTTTAAACGAAGAGATGAAATATAAGTCCTTTCCAATTTTAAACTTTGATGACAACTCTGAGGTAAATTCAAGTACTTTAGATAATGTCCAAACGACTGTAGGCGCACATTAATTTGTGCCTCAAAAACCCTGCAATTTCAGATCATTTTGTTCCTTTGGCCTATTTTTTTTTTTTTTTATGAAATGAGGAAACTGAGGCATTGAGGTTAATTGACTTGCCTAAGAGAAAAGAAGCTAAACCAGGAATAGAAATAACAGTCTCCTTCACACTGACTCTTTACTAGATCACATTACCATGACATTTGCCTTCTTTGGACCTCCATGATACATAGGTTCGGGAATGAGAGTTCCACTAGTATATGCAGAAATGCAGGGATAATTTCTTTATTCAAGGATGTGATACATTTTTTTAAAGCTCAAATTTGGAGAGTATTTTTAAGGAAAATGGAGTGTAAGCCCTAAGAAACGCATAGATATCATGTGTTGCCTTTGGAATGGGCATATTAAGAAAAAGCTGAGACTTACGTTTTCTTTCCACAGATGGCACCTTGATACCAGTTCCTACAAGTACTCAAGTATTTCTTTTTGGTGCCTAAAATCTGTTGAAGGGCACACACATTTGGGCTGAAAGATAAACAAAATGAGTCACTGTCTCAATGAACGACTAGTTTTTTGTACCTAAAAGTCAAGTGGTTAAAAAAAAAAAAACAAAAACAGTTAACATGTGGATTTGATTTTCAAGAATGTGATTCTAGTCTTGCAAAAATCTGATTCTTGATACAAACCTACTTAACATCAAACAAACTAAAGTCTATGGAAAAGAAAGAGAGAAGAAATTATGCATTCGTGAGAGTAAATTGTCAGTGTTCCAAAAATTAACCTAATAGAAATATAAAAGCAGCATTAAGTTTACCATAATTTTGTTTTAATGTCTCATCACTTTTAATAGCAAATAATCCATTGGCCCTTTTTAAACCAAATATGCTCATTTTGGGTGTGGAGAGCCTTTAGAGCTCTTAGAACAATGAGGAATCAGAGATCAAAAGTTTTACTATATCTACAGACATTATACTCTAATAGTGGATGTAAGTCATCACCGAAATAAATGAGTGCTAAAATTAAATGGCATGGCTGCAGAAAGAAATAATATTTTTTTTCAAATGGAAGTAATAAATCAGAACATCCTCTGCCAGAATTTTAAATTTTTTTTTTCCTCTCTCTCTCTAAAGAGATGGAATTCTTATTTGCACCATAGGACAAAGATTTGAGCATTATGAAAATTCCTCTAAGACTTAAGAAGTGCCAAAATACATTTTTTAAAAACTATAAATGATTAGTTAAGAGACTAAATTATGACCAATATCTTTAAAAAGTGCTAAATTATAGCTAAATTTAACCTAGGAAATATAAATTGTTTTTGCAATTTTACAGAATGTAAATTTAAAACCTTTCTTAAATGTTCCAAAAATTTCAGAGAACTGGTTACCTTACCCATTATTTAATTTTTATATAAATTGCAACTTAAAATAAAAATTTCCTAACATGATGCGAGACATTTCAAAGCTGTTTACATGAGAGCTTTTAACCATAGATTCTTCAGTTTTGTAAATCTCATTCTGCATTTTCAAAATGAAATAAAAACACAAGTAAACTGAATTATAAAGAAATGTCCTGTTAAATGTTATTAATTAGATTAAAATTATATACCATTCATAAAAAGGCAATTATACACGTTATTTTGACAATAATTTTTAAAGTTTAAGACACATATAAATCACAAAACACTCACTGTTTCTTTTTCCTTATTACTCTGTAATAAGTAGAAAAAACTTTATGTATACTTGTACATATAGAAAGCTAAGGCAGAGGGAAAAAAGATTTATAACCACTGACTTACCCCTGATCTCGGCCCCTGATACGGCTATGAGCCAAAATCTTGTCATAATGACCGCTGGCATTTGCAGGGTTAACAACAACCAGCAAGAGTAGAGAAAATATGGGTAAGAAAGGAACCATCTTTAGTCTCTCTGTTGCAGTTAGTCCACGAAGAGAACTGGCAGTGGGCTTTGGAGAGCTCAGAGTTTATATACATGTCAGAGTTGTGGGAGGGAGCACTGTATCAACCTTGGGAATCTGAACTGTGCAAAAAACACCAGCAACTTCAAGTTGCTAGCTAAAATCTGTTCTTGTTAGGTTTACTGAGCTCATTGAGCATCTTTTTTTTCTCATTCTGAAGAAGATATTTATTTTTATATTATTTATATTTCTCTTTATTTTTAATAACTTGCTCACTGCGTGTTGATATTTGTTTTATTCTTTAGTAATTTAGAGGGTTTTTAATGGAAAATGATTTTGTTTGGGTTTGAAGGAATTTCCTGCAATCTGTCCCTTTTAGAGTACATGTCCCTGTCTGTGCTCAATGAAATCATTATTTGATCTCATCACATCTTATTGCATTCAGTTAACTTCAGAAGTGAACAGTTATTTTTTACTCAGAAAACAAAGGTAGATGTAAGTTTGATAATCACAAAGGAGTAATGGCTGATAATTAGAAACAAATGTCGAATGGATTTAAAACTTGCACAGAGTGTGAAGTAAAAATTCTAACTTGCTAACAAAACATGTAGAAGAGATTACATTTCCCTTGTAATCCTACTTAACTGAGATGATTCCTCTCATTTCACTTCTCTCTTTAAATATCAAGGAATAGATACAGTTAATATAAATTTACTTCTGGCAAGTTTCTCTAACTCTCAAAATTAAGCAGAAAAGTAAAACATTTGTGTTTTATTGTTTTTTTCATTACATCCTTCACATATTGTAAATCTCTAGGCAGCACATGTATTGAGAACTACTAGACAAAAGCATCCCCGATTGGAAACAAACATTACCAATCTAACTATAATAGAATAATTAAATACATATTAAGGCACAGGGTATTTGTAAAATTTTTCTTTTGATTTTATCAAGAATAACTAAAATCTTTTAATGTTACATTGCACAATTACTAGCCAAAGAAATATGCATTCTCACCACTTCATATACAATATGTCAAATCTTTGAAACATTTTGGATAAAAGAAATGTGAATTCTAGAAGTCACTAGTAAACTGAAATGATAGCTGCAATGAGTCCCTTTGAATAAACAAGTTACATACCATCTTGAAGCAAAAGTGCTATTCAAATACTCCTTGTGCCAAATGCTCCCATGGTCATGGCACATTGGTGTTGTTTTCTTGCTGCTTCTATAAGGATATTTTATTCTGAATCTTCATGTTGTCACATTGGAAGTGCTTTTAGGAGATGCTGAATTAGGTCAGGAGAGTTATTTTAAGCTTGCTATAGGATTTTGTCTTAGGACAACAAATAATTATGCAACTTGCTGCTAATATATTAAGAAAGTATTCAGTGAAACAATAAATTTTGAAATATGATTCAGAGGGCTCTTTTCAATGTGAAAATCTTAGTAGTAAGATATAGAAAATGAAAGAGTAATTCAAAAGGAGAGCTGAAGAGATGGCATAAAAAGTTAAATTATACTCTTTCCTGACCCCTTGTGGGAAGAAGAGAATTAGCCTATCATTTATATTTCTCTGAAGGGAATTATTCTAACTTAATCTGTATGTCACTGGCATGCTTTATATAATAGATTTCTATTATTACTCTTATGTTGTGCAAAGAGTATGTGGTCAGTAATTGGTCATTGAGCAGAATGGAAAGACTTTTATGAAAATAAGTTCTACTTAATATCAGCAAATTAGCTGCTAGAACATTATTGATAACATAGTTGTATAAAAGTCTTCAATTCTAGACTGGTTAGACATTAAAATGTAGATTAATTCTTTTCTTTCTTTATTAAATTTATTGAGGTGACATTGCTTAATAAAATTATGTAGGTTTCAAGTGTATAATTCAATAATACATCGTCTGTATATCGCATTATGTATTCACCATCCAAAGTGAAATCTCCTTTCGTCACCATATATTTGAGCCCCTTTACTCTTATCTACCTCTCTCTACCCCCTCCCCCATTTCCCTTTGGTAACCACCAAACTTGTCTGTTGAGTTTTTGCTTGTTTGTCTTGTTTGTTTGTTGCTTTCAGTTTTATATGCTATATATGAGTGAAATTATATGGTTTTCAACTTTTTCTGGTTGGTGGTTTTCATGTACTGCAGTGAACATCAGGGAACACATATCTTTATGAATAAATGTTTTCAAATCTTAAGGGTAGATGTTCAGAAGGATTTGGGGTCAAATGTAATTTAATGGGACTATAGATGACTTATTTTCTTAAGACTCACAGTAAAATTTATAATGCAGAAAAAATAAATCGAACTTAAAATACAGAAATCTCTCTAATATCACCACTAAAAGTAGTAATTTACTATTTCCTGGGATGCTCACTACTATTAATGCAACCCTCTTCATTTTAGATAGCTGTAACTGTTTATAAGTTTTTCTATAGTGAAGCTGAAATTTGCTCAAATCCAATGTAGTTTGACTGGAGAGGAAAGAATGGGGTATAGAGAGAAAGAGATATGGAATTAAATAATTATGTCCCAAGAATAAAAGGACTACTTAAATACCTAAAGTCCAGAATGATAACAGGTAAACTTGATCAAGTGTATGGAGGAGAAGAAAGAATCAATAATTTCCTGCCATGTTATCTACTTTCTTCATAGTGCCTGCAATAAATTGAAAGTATATTAATTCTTTTCAAAATCGATTTTGACCTAGTTGTTTCTTGTGACTACACTTTTATCAATTGCAATCAATGTCTTCCATTTATCCCAATTCCTTCAGTGATCTAAATGGACAAAGAATTGCATGGGATGAGTAGTGAAAATGGAAATGTATTCGTATTTCAAAAGAGGATCGCTGTCTTATGACAGGAGATATAGTTTTCCTTTCTGTAAAAGCATGATAGATTTTCATAATGCTAAAAAGAAAGTTCTTAAATCTTTCCTTCTAGAGTTTCAAATACTAGAGTCTTAAATCTATTCATACTGAGCATCTTATTTGGAACTTGTATAAATCCCATGGAAGCCAACAAATACTGGCCCTCAACAAACATTTATACACAAGATGAGTAATAACATCAAAAAAGATCTTAAAAACGAGGCCAGATTGTGCATATTAACTACATGTAAATTTAGAGGTTAGAGAACATTCCAAGAGAAGGAAAATTTTAGAGTAACTATAATAACATTACACCATTTCAACTTAAAAAGCTAAGCCAAGCCCAAAAATGTGATATAGTGGGAGAAATTCCAACCAACTGCTTTAACCAGAATTAAGTCCTGTTTCATAGCTGACAGTCGGGGTAGGGTGAGAGAAGGAATGGAAAGTTGCAGAGAGTGAGAAGAAATGGTTGTCTAAGTTGTAGAGAAAAGATTAAAAAATCTTGAGAGAAATACAATTCTCTCCTTTTAAAGCACTCAAGCACATAGGACCCTTATTCTTCTGCTTCATGAAAAGATCCTGGCCCTGGTTTGGCTATACAATTTAATTAGCAGTTTGGAGAACTTTCAGGGTTGCAAAATCTGACCCGGAAATGTAAGTCATTCATAAAAAAGAAACCGTTTATTATGCAATCAAAGAAAAATAATGTATCTAAAAAACAGAGGCATTTCTAGCTACCAAGTTGCTAATTTACTGGCCATTCCCAAATTATCCTTCTTTGTAGAAAGTCTTATAGTCTTTGAAGACTGTGAAGTCATTGTAATATCATGCTTACTGTCGCTAGCATGTAACCAACATTAAACTTGCCCGAAACTCTCTAGAATTGAACATGACCTATGGATTCAATAAACTTGGATACTCAAGCCAAGAGTAGATTTTTAGGACAGAATTTCCTTGGTTTTAAATGATGCAGAGTGGTTATTTGCCCAAAGTTTATAAACATCTGCTTTTTAATACATGGTCTGTGGGATCTTGACATTCCTTCCCTAAGCATCACTTTCCTTTCTTATTGGCCTATTTGTAAAATATGAGAAGGCCTTAAAGTTAATGCCACACATTCTTGCAGGCAGCACTCTTCAGTCTTCAAGCACCTTGGCCAGTGAGGGTCTCAGACTTCTCTGGTACATGGGTTTGCAGCTCCGAAGTTCTGACAAAGACCCAGTGATCTGATTTTTTTTACATGAGGGAAAATGTTTTCTTAAAATTATTAGATTATGTTGAACTAAGTCAAAAGTAGAAGGAATTTAATTCAAGCAAATGTTAAATTTTATGATTTTTTTCCCTTATAAGAAAACATTCATACAGTCAAAATGAAATTAAATATCAATGGCCAATTTAAAGAGGGCAACATATAGGCTCAGGTATTTGTGGCCAACACATTGTAGAACATACAAGAAGTAGGACCTCCTGATCCCTCCTCCTAATATATTTCCAATGGATTTCCTTCTATAGTCCCATAGATCTTACAGGCATTTTCTGGCCTAACATACCTAAGATAATGAAATCACATTCAGAGAAAGAGATAACTAAATTGACCCTAACGTAAACATTAAGTGATATCTCTCTAATGTTATTTTAGATGCAGAACAGAAAGCTTTCTTTGATAACTGTATGTAGTAAACCATCAAGTGACAAATCTCACCGTCATACTAAGGAATCAGTGTAACTATTTGTCCCTAGTTGAGCTGAGTACTTTTGAAATCTTAAAACTGGGTGGGTATCAGCAACTTTCCTTATTAGCAGCATTTACTTGTATTTCTCTGGAGACATCTAGTGGAGAAAGTAGAGTATACATTTCTAGAAACATATCAATTACATGTTGATTAAAATAATAATTAATATGGAATTGATATAAAAATCGATCATTTTACATGAATTTCAAAATGTCAAACAACTAAAGATTAATAATTGTCTTTTTATAAAAAATATTTTTTAAAATTACAGTTGGCATATATTATATTAGTTTAAGGTGTACAACATAGTGATCAGATATTTATATACTTACAAAGTGATCACCCTGTTAAATGTAGTACTCATCTGATGCTATACATAGTTATAT